GGGAACAACTGTAATAAGTGTGCATGTGTGTGATGTATGTCTTCCAACCCCACGTCTTTCTCCCTTTTATTTACCCGCTTATGATGGTTAGATTAGGGCATGTTTCAATTAGCATACAGTATGACAGCATGTTTGCATCATTCATCTGTAATTGCATGCACCGGGCTCGGCGCATCATACTAACTGCATTGTACTTTCAATTCCAAGTGAATAGCATGTTAGCTGAGCATTTTCATATGCCATGTTTAAGAATACGCCGAGCCTCTATAAGTTGCATTTTGCATGTGTTGCATTAGGCATTTCCGTATAATTAGGATCATGCATGGATTTCTAATTAGCTTCTTGTTTGCTTGGGGAGTACTCGGTAAGTTTTATGCTTTAGCATCCTTGCATGCGTGTGAGTGACTACCATGAATAACATGCTTACCCATGAGACTAGGGCTATTCTTATTGTGATAATACTGGCCTGCTGAATGCCTGTGGGTGAAGGTTGGGTTATTTGAATTGGAACAATTCATCAAATGTGTGTTTTAAGCCCACTAGATAGTGGCAAAATCATATTTTTCTAAGCCCACCCGAGGGTGGCAAATCCACGTCTTAGCCTACTTGCGGGTAGCACCATCAAACCATTTTTAAATAAACAAACATGAAATGCTTTGTTCCAATTCAGGCGATCCAGTCTATACTTGTATGCTGTGCGCATCATATAGTAACCTAGGCTAATAACCGGAATAAGAATTCACAATGTTTTCAAAAATTGATATCGTGGTTAGTAGAGGCCGGTCTATGACCGGGCGAGCGGGGGTGCTCACGAAGTGACCTTCCCTAATTGTACCCAAGTTCCCGAGCCGAGGCAACTTTGGTGATGACGGACACGTGGCCTTTGGCACCGAGTCAGGGTTTCCTAAATTTCCCAAAATAAAATATTTAGGTGGCGACTCTGTATCTGGCAAAGCAGTCCATGTTTGGCACTTCTTTCAAAATCTGTTTTCTCAAAACGATTTGCCGGATTTGGACTCTTTGGTTCAGATTTAGAACCGTGACAATTTGAGAGTCCGAACTGTAGTGAACCCCAAATGAACAGAACGGGGGACTCGTTCCTCCCGGGGGCATTCGGGGACGTCTACACAATGGTTTTGGTTTTGTGAGTATATCATTCCTCAACTACTTATGAGTAGGGGTGTAATTGGTTCAGTTTGGCCGAGGTTGGGGGAAAATTTAGCACTCAACTGAATTGTTTTGATTTTGTTGGTTTGACGAATCAAAACTGATCACATGCTATAGTTTGGTTTTGTTGGTTTTTCAATTTAGAGAAGCGATTCATGGAAGATTTTAAAGATTTTATAGAAACTTGTAGAATTTCACATCATGAATAAATGAAGAGAGTTACAAAACATGTAGAATTAATCTTTTGTCTTCTAATAGTTAAAAATAAATAAAATATAAAAAGTACTTAAATATAACATTTTGGTTGGTTTGGTCAGTGTAGATGTAAAAATTTTCATAACCGGAACAAACTGTACCTTGTGAAAAACCAATTGAAAGCCAAAATTTTTGTTCAATTCAGACAATCAGTTATGTTCCACCGATTTTTCTTATAGCCCTAGTAAAGAATAAGACCCCAGTAGCTAGTCACAGATGGATGGAGCCAATCTTACCCACCTTGATTGGATGGGTAAGAGATATGATTTTCAAACAATTTTTTGAGCACCATAAAACATTAGGAGAAGCAATAATATTACTCATAATTTCAACAAGAGTTAAGAGTGTCATAATAAATGAAAGGCGACACAATCGATCTCATCCATCCATGTTGCATGGCCTCATTAGTAGGAAACATCACGTACAAATGTCGCAGTAGTACTCTGGAACATGAGTACTTACATTAGCATGCAGTAAATCATGAAGAGCTAAATAGCTTAATGAATGAACATGAGCATTTTACCTCTCATTTTTATGTATATGAATGTGCCTATAACTCTTTGATAGAGATGGGGAACGAGTTTCCAGGGCATGATCTGGTGCTTTTCCAGCTCAATGTGCATATAATTTAGTTGGTTTCTTATCATGTGTTGCCTTCTATCTTTCACAGGCTTTTCAAAAAGGTTCGCCGTTGGTCCCAGAGATATCAAGGGCAATTAGGCAGCTAAGGGAAAATGGGACATTGATGAGGTTAGAGCAGGCATGGTTTAATAGCCCACCATCTCTAGTGTCGACGCAGAACAGCTCTGTGACTAATGGCTCCCCCAACAGACTCAACTTTGATAGCTTTCGAGGTTTATTTCTTATCAGTGGGTTGTCTTCAGCTTCAGCCCTTGTCATACTATCAATCCACTCACTCTATCAAAGATGGCATGCCAAAGTTCACAGCTTCAGAAATCTTATATGTGAAGTACTAGTGTTCTGGGTAAAGCTCCTTTCCACTACAAATTCCAATTTGATTAATCAAATTCCAAGGTGATGTCTGAGACAATAATTTTACAGACATGGAACTAATCATATAATTGATTATAAAAAGTAATGGTGATTATACATATCAGACGGTGGAGTCCAGTACTGAAGAAACTGCTCCACTCAAATTACTCCGCTTATATTTTCTGTGTTGGTTGTTTGGTTATTAATAACCCTTTTAATAGTTCTGCATTTTTCATCCCATTGTGTCCACGAACTTGTCCAAAAATGTGTAACTTTAATCGCGTAGCTTCTTTTTTCTTCTTCTTTTTATTACAATATATATCAATTATAATGAAATAGAATGAATCATTAATTATAACATAAATCATAATTACATAAAAACCTTCTAGAGAGAGAGAGACTCCAATTAAAAGCAGGGAAATAAACCCACGTGCAAATAGAAAGGCAGAATCGAGACCTCAATAAGAAGTGTAAGAACTCTGACAAAAAAGAATAATTCTGTTGGTTAACCTCCAAGCTTAGTGATGTACTATTTGTTGAAGTCTCACATGGACCTTCTTATAAGTATTCATTTAAATGACCAGTAAAATTTAGAGAGTAGATTCCAAGACATTGATCAATTCAAGAAGAACTTCCAGCTGAACTTTGAAAAATCCTTTGTGGATTTAATTCATTTAAACATAAAAAATCAAGCCTTGCTAATACTTTTCATACTGGACACTGACTATAACTCGCATAGCTTCACATGTTTTTTATAAAATAATTTGGATACGTGATTCATAAACACTACTTTGTATTTGTTGAGTCACCTAATCATTAGTATTAGTGAGTAGTTATATTAGGACTTTTAAATTTTAATCTGGTGGTTGTGTAGCGATGTGTTGCATCGTTTTGAAGTGTGAGGTTGTAATATCAAGACTCCTATGGAGAGGAGTTTGGTTTCCCCCGTATGGGGATTGTGTGTAGTTTATTTCTTAAGACTATTTTTTGTGAAGGTTGTTAGTTTAGCGATTGTTGACTTTTTAATTATTGTTGAATTTTAATTGTTCAGTTTGATGTAATGTTTTTTATATGCCGTTTGAACAAAGAAAAAAAAAGTAGTTATATAGAATCAATTCAATAATGGCCTTATCTGGCAAAGGCTTTTTTTTGTTTTTTTTTTTCTGGACTAAAATTTATAAAAAAAAAAAACAAAATAGGCTAAAATAGCCTATAAGGCAAAACGTCACATCAAACTCACAATTATTTTTTTTTTTTTATCACAAACACCACATCCAACTACAAACAAATCCAACCATCTTCCCAAATGCAAATATTTTAGCTTACTAAAATAGTCAAAAACTAAAATAGTTTACTAAAATAACCAACTCCCCAAACAAGGCCAATGTTACAAATTCAAAATATTGACATAAAATTTTACTCAAAATTGAAGTATGAAATATGTGGCTCAAACTAATTAAAATTTGGGAAAATAAACCCTATGCGAACCATGCAAGCAAGCTCTACGTTTACAAAGTGGGCTTCTCCTTCCAAAGGAGAAAAGTTATCTAAAACACTCCCAAGGAGCAGTTGTTCGACGTCGTCAGTGGTAATGTCATAAATACATTCGGACTCTTGATTTCTATTGAACCCACAAAGAGCTCCACATTTTCAAAGAGGGAAACCAAGATATGGAACGACAAATACTTTCCTTTCTTTATAATGATAAGGAAGGGAATAGGGGGAGAAGAACTACATTCCGTAATGTTAAGACTTGAATCTAGATATACCTCTAATAACGTATGAAGTAACATTTATCAAGATACAACAACATAATCCAGTGTGGGAGCCCAATGGGTGTCTATTCCACATCACTCTATGTAGGGATCCATCCCACATCGCTCTACATAAATCGACTAACTCCATCATCCGAAAAAGCACAAAAAAATTATCAAAAGTTTAAAAAAACAAGTAGCCAGGCTAGTAAATTGCATAGTTCACAGCTAAATTTGGATACTAGAAACCAATGGCTGACAAAAAAGATTGTGATACAATAATGTACGATGAATAAAACCATTCTTTCTGTACTTCTAGGTCAACTGAGCTAGTATGGGAAGGAGGTCAGCCAAACAACAAACAACTCCACTTTGTACGTTTCTTGAGCTTAGGCATTTTAAAAAAAGAGAAGGGAATTTTTCACCGAAGGAGGCAATAGGAATGGAGGAGCCTTTCCAAAGGCATTAAAACCTCTCAATCGAATGAAATAACGGTAATGATCAAATTTTACAGTCTTCGCTAAGCTAGATAAGAAAATCCCACCCTATAGCTAAAACGACTATATAATGCTATAGAAGCACACACTTCTTTGTCCACAACAGCAAGCTCTCAGTCCTGACTAGCAAGTCCAATTCTCCAATTATTCAAGAACCGGGAAACTACAATGCGCAATGATAAAGACTCTTTTTGAACAAGCAATGATAAGACTCAAATCTAAATATCACGCCTGATAATGTTTGAAGTGACATTTACCAAGAAACATCAAGATGTTTGCAGTGACATTTACCAAGAAACATCAAGATGATACAGAAAAGCACACGAAAAATGCCTTAAGTTCGACAAACCAAAAAAAGAGTCAAGCTAGTAAATCACATAGTTCAAAGCTGAATTCGGATACAAAAGCAAACCAATGGTTGGCAAAAAGGATAACGATACAAGAGTTTACCATGATTTTTCATTTTAGTTTATCCCAAAGACTTTTCTGTGCTTTACCTAATTTACAAATTCTCTTGGTTTTTTTTTTTGTTCGGTTACAAATTCTCAATTACAATATTCTAATTACAATACAAAACATCACTCTTAGCCTCAACCTGGGGCTGAAAAGAGTATAATATGGTCATTGGCAGGCAGCATCATCTTCGGCCGGTCAAGTACCTAGTCTTCACATATTTACTACTGCTTGAGGTAACACTATCAGCTCGACACCTTTTTCGAGAACTTTTCGAATGAAGGGCCTCATCAGCCTCGTCATCATCAGTGTCAATAAGTTTACATCCAGCCCTGGTCTGGATACTCATGCGCCGAGGAACATATACATTGAAATAGTAGCTCACTATAGTTTCTTTCTGTTGGGAAGGCAAACACTCCAAGGCAGGCTTTAAAAAACTTTTGCCCTGAGATATAGGATTTGTTTTCACAAGAGAATCGAACTTTTTTTGCTCCTCTAAGTTCCATAACTTGGAAACATCTTGTCCCATCTCATTAAATCTCCATTTCCAAAAGGCGGGACCCAAATCAAACTGCAGCTGGAGCCGTTTGTCAGTGACATGGCGTTTAACGCATTCAATAGATCCGGGTGACACACACAGGCAAAAGTCAGGCCTCCCTTTCCCAATCACCCCAGCTTTGGTATCCGAACTCCAGCCTTTGATTGGCCAAACTTGAATGCCCAACCATCTTGAAGTATTTAATTCACTGTGAGAACACTTCTTGTGAGGTGGGCCAGTCCAAGCTGGAATGTCGGCTTGAAAACGGGGTCCAACGGGAATTGCCAATTTGAGACGATCATCATTGATGAATTCTAACCGTTTTGTTGAAATTGGCTTATGTTGCTTTGTCTTGGCCTTCAGTTGCTTCGGCTTCTGCATACTTTATGAATTTAGGTTCTTGACCAAGTAGTCGAAACAGCACAAGGATGGTAGCCTTCTTTTTTTGGTGAAGAGTAAGGACCATACCTAAATGGCTACTACTTGGAGGATTTTAAGCCTTTGAATGATTTATCAGAATGAAATGCTCAAAGGAAACTATCTGTATTCTTCAGAATATGCTTACAGAACCATTAGTAGAGTCAATGGTTATTGAGTAAGCAATATCGTGATGGGTGAAAGAACACTGCCATGTTGACTTGGACGAATTATGCACCATAAATTTCTTCACTCCAAATCAAAGATAGTGGAAATGCCCTCAACAAACTGATGAAATTGCCAGAAAAAGGATGATGAGTAAATTGTTCAGTTTAGAGATTGTATATTGATGTGGCATTGGAAAGAATTATACGAAAAAATAACATCATGCAGAAGTTGTCGAAAAGGAAAAATCAATCAACAAGGTTGAGAAATTGGAGGTGGGCCTAATTTGTGCCTAGAGGGCGAATAGGCTAAAAGCACCAAAATAAAGTGTAGCTAATTATTCAATTACACAAATCACAATCACAAAAGAAAACACACGATTTATGTGGAAACTCTTACAGAAAACATCCCCAAAGAAAAACCACAAGCACCTTGCCGATCAAAACAATCCTCTAATCAAGAGTTAATACAGGACTTGAGATAATGACTTACTACACTAATTCCAACACACTTAAGACTTGACCCCTTGCTCCCTAGAACAATGTTCCTTTTTCACACCACGGGTGGCTCCAATTCATAGACAACTCTTGAACTAGATTGCACCATGGAAATCTCCCGAAAACCCTTGTGAGGTGATAACCATGGAAATCTCCCGAAAACCCATGTTCTAATAGCATCAATTTAGAAGGCAAATGAAAGTGAATGAGACTATGAGGTGATAACCACCCTGAGCATCAAACAGAACCCCCAAAACCCTTGTTTTCAACAAATTAGAACACACAACCTACCATAAGCACACAAGGAAGCAAAAATGGGTCTACATACATTTTAGTTAGGCTCCGTTTAATATTTTACGCATCTTTCATTTTTGTTTGAACAAAAAGCAAGTAAAACATATTTTAAGTTCCTAAAATGACTTGCAATAAAAAAATTCCATAAATCAATCTTTTAGAAAGCTTAGTCCTTTCATCACATTGATCTTTTCAAAAGTGAAATATTGACCCTTTATTGGTTTCTATCCAACGCAGATAATAAAAAGTTTTTATTTGAAGTGTTAACCAAATACTGGAAAATAGAAAGAAAATAATAATTTTTTTTTTTATATATACAAAATCAATTTACACAAAAAAATATTCTCGGGTGTAAAATATTTTGCGTCTTTAGTAAGTATCATAAAGCCAGGCAAAAATTAAATCCTGCAGTCGTGTATTTAATAGAAATCTAAACCAAGATACGGAGGTGAAAAAATTAAATAACCTATCAAAATGATAGAATATAAATAAATACATGACAAAACCAGGCCAAATGTACAATAGTTCTATCTGCATCGTAAGACAGAAGATGGATTAAAATACATACGCATGTCAAAATGCATATATATATATATATACACACAGAGAATTGTAATAATATACCCTGTTTTCAAGGTTGTTCAGGAACCCTAAATGAATCGAACTTGAATTCTAAAACAAAAATATTAGGCATCATGAAAACAAATATCATGAAAATACTTCAAAGATTCTCCATCATTAAATTAGTTTGTATTAATTTGCACTGTTTTATTATATGTTATGCAACTGATTTCATGAAATTTTTTCATGATATTTATTTCATGATGCGGAACAATAATCTTCTGAAAAACAAAAAACAAAAACAAAAAAAAAAAACAAAAAAAAAAACCATGAAAACGCTGAATCGAAGAAGTGTTACCTCTGCCGCAGCCAACGATTTGGTTGATGAGCCTCTCCTCCGGCCTCGCCGTAAAATCTGTCCCCTGACTCTTCTTGTTTTTAATGCCGGTGAAGGCCGGTAACTCATTAGGGCTCCCACCCGGACCTAACAAATCTATCACTCCGTTTGGATGCGGTGATTTGCCGATAAATAATAGTGATTTTTTATTATTATTTTTTTTTTTTTAATGTTTGTTCATGTCTATATGAATAAGTTGTTTTAATAATTTTTTTTAATTAAAATATGAGATAAAAAAATTAAGCGTACTTTGTTCAAAAGTACAAATTTTAATTTTATTTGTTGAAAAGTCCAGCACGGAAACATTTCGTCCAAAAAGACAAATCAATCAAAATGACCAAAATACCCTTCTTTATATATATTATATATACATTCAAACCTAACAAATCACTCTCTCTCTCTTGCGTCTCTTTACTTTCTCTCACATTCTCTCTCCCTTCCGCAGTGATGCAGTCATCGCCTCCTCTTCTTCTGCGCCACCGCCATTGTCGCGATGCTAGAGTCGCCGAACCCCCATACTTTAGTGTTGGTTCCTTTCACCATGGCAGATCTGAGCAGATGTTGTCAGTACCCCCTTAGATCTGAACAGAAGTTATAAACGCTGCCGGCGTCAGTTCACTCTCTCTCACACCTCACACCGTTCTCCTCCGTCATCCATCACCACTGACACACCATATAATCTCTTTCTTCAGATTTCTTTAAATAAACAGATCTCATATCTATTTGATGATACACAGATCTTAGATCTATGTTGACAATACGCACTCAGATCTCATGTATGTGTGTGTCTCTCTGTTTTTGTTTCTGTCTCTGTCTCCAAATTTATTTATTTATTTTGGTAGTTGATCTGTTGTGTATGTAGTTGTAGTTATTTTGGTTGTTGATGTTGATTTTGATGGTGTTGATGTTGATGAAAATGAAACATATCGCACTATTTTTTCTTGTTCTTGTGTTGTGTTGAACAGATAGAATAGAAAGATATTTAATAGATAGAAAAATAATAATTTTTTAACAAATATGTTTGGTTTGGCTTAATATTATCTCTCTAGCAATTGCAATAGATAGATACAAAATTTCAATAGATAGAAAAGATTTTGAAATCAAATAGAGTTAGTTTGACAAATAGGAACAAAATCTGAATTGAAAAGATTTTTAAAAAATTGAACAGATAAGGAAAAAATTGAATCGATAGACAAAAAATTAGACAAATAGAATTTTATTTGGACAAATATTTAAATAGATAAGAGAAATTTGAATTGAAAAGATTAAAAAATTGAACAGATAAGGAAAAAATTAAATAGATAGACAAAAAATTAGACAAATAGAATTTTATTTAGACAAATATTTAAATAGATAAGAGAAATTCGAATTGAAAAGATTAAAGTGGTGCTCGAGCGGACTGCACGAATTTAGCAGTTTAAAAAGTGATTTTCTAGATCATTCTCTCTACTCTTCTTTTCTCTCTTCCTTCCCCTCATCCTAAGTCCGAAAAACCCTAGATTTTTTACCTAAATACTCTCAATTTCTCAAAGATTTGGCCAAGATCTCTTACCAAAAAGTGAAGAAGGCTTGAAGATCTTACTTTTCTTTCAATTGAAATTTGGATTTGCGAAGGATTCTTTTTGAAGCTTTGTTTTCTTGCTTGATCCTTAAGGTAGTGGTTTCTAGTTCTTCTTCAATACTCTCATTTATAGATAGATTTGTGGTATTTTCCTTATACAAATACAAAATTTATATTTTAAGCATGTTGTGATAAATCATGAGATTGGGAGTTTAGGGTTTGGAATGTTGGGGTTTACTAGTTGGGTTATGATTATGGGCTTAGGAATTTGGGTGTGTAATTAATAGAAGAGTTGAAATAAAAAGTGTTTGGGTGAAAAGTTTTAAGTTGTCTTAAAACCCTAGCTTGGTACATGAAGATAGATGATGGTTTTGCTTAAATTGAAAGTAGTATCATGAAATTGAGGTGTTAAATTGAACATATACAAGTTTAATTGAATTTTGGAAGTGTTTGGAAATTTATGTAAAAGTAGCGATTGAACCCTTATTGTTGATATTTTAAATTATGTGATAATATGAAATAAAGTTTTGGGGGAAGAAATTGTTAATGGTATGGATGATATGAATTTTGCGATGAAATGATGAAGTTGAGGTTTAAGAGGTTGCATTGACATAGGTTGAATTGCATTGAGCTATGTTGAACTTGTATCGAATTATGTTGAATTGCATTGTTTGGTGTTGAGTGTGCTGAGTTGTGTTGGGTTATGTTGTGTTGGGTGGTATTGTGTTGGTACTCGCACGAGGAGTTGAAAAAGTGCCCATTGCCCTGTCTAGGCTTATTGCTGGACAAATGTGGGAAAAATGATTTTTGGGTGTCCACATAGTCCCGCTGTATAATAGTCGGCAAAAGTAGAAAAATGATTTTTGAGTGTTCACAAAGTCCTGCCGTATTATAGCCTGCAAAATTAGAAAAACGAATGGTTTTGAAAATGTTTTTGGGTGCCCACTTACTGCAGTATAATAGCCGGCAAATGTGGGTTTAGTTTTTAAAGTTGAAAATGTTTTTGAGGGTCCACATCCTGCCGTAGGACAGTCGATAATTGTGGAATGACATGGTTTTTGGAAAAATATGATTTTTCAGAAAATAATTTTTGGGAGTTCACTTCCCGCTGTATAATAGCTGGCAAAAGGTGGAAGGTGTTATAAGTTTGGTGCCCGCTATCCCGTTGTATCAAGTCGACAAAAGGTGGAATGTGTTGAGAAATGTATTGAGTTGGTGATAATATGTGTGAATTGTGATGAACTTATAAAATTACAATTTGATGTGTACTTTGGTACGGAAGGGGAATGCATAGAAATTATTTGAAAAGAATGGATAATGAAATAGTAATTGGATAAAGGGTTAGTGATAATGAACTCACCGAGTTGTTTGTATCTATAAGGAAAGATTAAGAGTTTTGTTTTTGTAATTAATTGAGATATTGAATTAAATGGGTTTATTATTCTTATGTTATGTTGAATTATAATTAATAATGCAAATGTGAATGTGATGTAGTTGTTAGACAAGTAGGAGTTGAGTGTAGGAGAATTGTTATTGAATATAAAGGAGATTTGGATTCCTACATTATAGGGTTATAGCAATAATGGATAGACAAGTGAGAATGGAGTGTATGAGGGTTATTGATATGGTATTAAGGGAACTTAAACTTTGAGGTTATGGAGTTATAATAATTACGAGTAATAAAAAGGAAAATGGAAATGAAACGAGGAATACTTTGGAATTGGGTTAATAATCTAAAATGATGTTGTTCTTTAAGCATATTTGTTTTCAAAAAGGATTTATGGTTTTTCTGATGATGAGGGATAATTTTTATGATTGAGAGTTTTCTTTAAATGTTCAAATACATTTTGAGATAAAGGTATTCTACATATAATATTTTAAAATTACGGAACGTCACCTTACTATATGGTATCACCCTGCATGTATGATCATTTCTATCTATGTGTTAGTTATTGTTGTAAAACTATGAGATTCCTACTGGGCAATTGTGTTCATCTCTTGTTGTTTCAAATTTTTTTTACAGAGAGAAATTTGGATTCATTAGTTGAAGAGTATGGAGTCCATGTATCTTTTATGTATAATTTCATCATGGATGTGAAAGGAATGAATAATGTATCTTGTTGTCTGTAATTATTTATACGTAGCTTTGTAGCAGAAGCTTGGCATGTATTATTACCATTGTTGTATTCATTGAAAGAGAGAGAACATGTATTATTATGTTTCTATTACTCAAGGGTAATAGATATTCTCAAAAAAAAAAAAAAAAAAGGACCTAAATTACAGGGTTTTGGTAATGCTTCTGAGTAATTAAAATTCGGAGCATGATACATTAAATGGACATATAGATGACACATGGAACAATAAGGGATATGTAATGTCTCAACCGTTCACATGTCATCGATATTGCCGCTTTGGGCCATGCTCGCACAGATTTGTTCTTCCTAGTGGGTCACCCATTCCAGAACTACTCCAGCCTAAGCACGCTTAACTGAGAAGTTACCACCTGGGAAAAGGCCTTGATGTTATATAATGGTTTAGGTTTTTACTTTTATAGCCCAGGAACTCCCCCTCCATTCCCGATGTGGGACACTAAGACTTTACAATTCACCCCTTTTAGGGCTGCATGTCCCCGTGCAGTAGCCTGCCAGCTCACAAGCCCGCCCACATGCACCAAGAGATGTCAGGGGCCCACAGTCGATACTCCGGAGAGTCGGCTTTAATACCATTTAATGCCCCAACCCTTCACATGTCATCGATATTGTCCGCTTTGGGTCATGCCTGTATGGATTTGTTTTTCCCAGTAAGTCACTCATTCTAGAACTACTCTAGCCCAAACACGCTTAACTGGGGAGTTCTGCTAGGGATTTCACCACCCGAGAAAAGGCCTCGATACTATACAAGGGTCCAGGTTTTTACTTTTATAGTCCAACAACTCCCCTCTATTCCCAATGTGTGACACCAAGACTTTAGAGGATGACACGTGGACATATAGATGGACAATGGACAGATAAATAGATAGGAAGTAATATGATCTTTTAAATTATTTTGTTCTTCAACCTGAAAATAAATAGAGTTTTGGGTTATTGTTCCAAAAATGTTGAATTAGATTTATGGCTTGCCTTAGAAAAAAATTAAAATTAGTTGGACAACAAGGAAAAAAAACTATTCAGTGTGTTTAGTTTTAGTTTTTTGAATTTAATTTTCTGAAAATTAAGGTTTTTGTTTTTCATAATTTTTTGTTTTTTGTGAATATTTTTAAAATTTTAAGTACTTGTTTTACTTTTTTAGATACACCTCACTTAGATGTATCTAAAAAGTAAAATATTTGTGAAAAAATATTTTAAAAAATTATTAAATACACAAAAATACAAAAAATATATTGAATTTTCATTTTTTTTTGTATTTTTGGTATTTAGTGAATTTTTTAAAGATTTTTTTCACGAAAGTTATACTTTTTAAGTGTATTTATGTTAAGTATGTCTAAAAATTAAAAAAAAAATTGCTTAAAATATTTAAAAAAATTCATAAAAAACAAAAAAAAATACAAAAAATAAGAAATGA